TCTACTCACGATGTGCTCAACATGTTGTCGTCTTCTTTGTCTTATTTAAATATTTATATACCAGCCCTTGTCAAAACAGTTCTGTAATTTCCAAACCTTTCTTTTGAATTCGTACCATCTAATCATAAATTCCCTCACGCATTTATTTTCGAATGAGACGAATGCAATAAACTTTCATTCCATGTCTTTAGTGTTTCTTTAATTTTGACTGGCATATCTCAGAGTTAGGTTAGTTGCTTATCCTTCACAGGACGTTGCAGAACCAACCTATTTTTTTTTCTAGGCAAATTTACGTCCAGTAGTTTGCCATTGCTTCTGAGCGGTCGGCTTTCTTGATACCACTGTCGAAACCAACCAAAGGCGCATGACCCGCAGCTGGGATCAAACCCTGCATTACAAAGCGTTCGCATCTACTTAACCACAGAGCCGACCATCTCAGAGTATTTATGTGAAATATAAAATATATACTTTTGAGAACTTGATAAACACTCTTTATCTCGTTATAACTCTGAGTGTTGAACAGGATTTTTTTTTTTATTGCTGAGATTTAAATAAAAGTAGAATTAAACAAATGCAACTTGTTTTTAAAATTATATAATTTAGAGTTAAATTTTTTTGTTTAGAGTTCCATTTTATGTTGCCCCAGCAGCAAAAATTGATACCTAATAAATTGGTCCCTTACTTTAATTATTTTTGTCTTCGGTGTGATTTCTGTTAGATCTGTCACTAATGTCCCCAGTGTTATGTCTGTTAGATCTGTCATTATTGTCTCCAGTGTGATGTCTGTTAGATCTGTCATTAATGTCTTCAGTGTGATTTCTGTCAGATCTGTCCTTAATGTCTCCAGTGTGATGTCTGTTAGATCTGTCACTAATGTCTCCAGTGTGATTCCTGTTCGATCTGTCACTAATGTCTTCAGTGTGATGTCTGTTAGATCTGTCCTTAATGTCTCCAGTGTGATGTCTGTTAGATCTGTCACTAATGTCTCCAGTGTGATGTCTGTTAGATCTGTCATTAATGTCTTCAGTGTGATGTCTGTTAGATCTGTCACTAATGTCTCCAGTGTGATGTCTGTTAGATCTGTCACTAATGTCTCCAGTGTGATGTCTGTTAGATCTGTCACTAATGTCTCCAGTGTGATTTCTGTTAGATCTGTCACCAATGTCTTCAGTGTGATGTCTGTTAGATCTGTCACTAATGTCTCCAGTGTGATGTCTGTTAGATCTGTCATTAATGTCTCCAGTGTGATGTCTGTTAGATCTGTCAGTAATGTCTTCATTGTGATGACTGTTAGATCTTTCATTAATGTCTCCAGTGTGATGTCTGTTAGATCTGTTACTGTCTCCAGTGTGATGTCTGTTAGATCTGTCATTAATATCTCCATTGTGATGTCTGTTAGATCTGTCATTAATGTCTTCATTGTGATGTCTGTTAGATCTGCCACTAATGTTTCCATTGTGATGTCTGTTAGATCTGTCACTAATGTCTTCATTGTGATGTCTGTTAGATCTGTCATTAATGTCTCCAGTGTGATGTCTGTTAGATCTGTCAATAATGTCTCCAGTGTGATTTCTGTTAGATCTGTCACCAATGTCTTCAATGTGATGTCTGTTAGATCTGTCACTAATGTCTCCAGTGTGATGTCTGTTTGATCTGTCATTAATGTCTCCAGTGTGATGTCTTTTAGACCGGTCACTAATGTCTTCATTGTGATGACTGTTAGATCTGTCATTAATGTCTCCAGTGTGATGTCTTTTAGATCTGTTACTGTCTCCAGTGTGATGTCTGTTAGATCTGTCACTAATGTTTTTATTGTGATGTCTGTTAGATCTGTCACTAATGTCTTCATTGTGATGTCTGTTAGATCTGTCACTAATGTCTCCAGTGTGATGTCTGTTAGATCTGTCATTAATGTCTCCAGTGTGATGTCTGTTAGATCTGTCATTAATTTCTTCATTGTGATGTCTGTTAGATCTGTCACTAATGTCTTCATTGTGATGTCTGTTAGATCTGTCACGAATGTCTTCATTGTGATGTCTGTTAAATCTGTCACTAATGTCTTCATTGTGATGACTGTTAGATCTGTCACTAATGTCTCTAGTGTGATGTCTGTTAGATCTGTTACTGTCTCCAGTGTGATGTCTGTTAGATCTGTCATTAATGTCTCCAGTGTGATGTCTGTTAGATCTGTCATTAATGTCTCCAGTGTGATGTCTGTTAGATCTGTTACTGTCTCCAGTGTGATGTCTGTTAGATCTGTCAATAATGTCTCTAGTGTGATGTCTGTTAGATCTGTCACTAATGTCGTCATTGTGATGACTGTTAGATCTGTCACTAATGTCTTCAGTGTGATGTCTGTTAGATCTGTCATTAATGTCTCCAGTGTGATGTCTGTTAGATCTGTCATTAATGTCTCCAGTGTGATGTCTGTTAGATCTGTTACTGTCTCCAGTGTGATGTCTGTTAGATCTGTCATTAATGTCTCCAGTGTGATGTCTGTTAGATCTGTCACTAATGTCTCCAGTGTGATGTCTGTTAGATCTGTCAATAATGTCTCTAGTGTGATGTCTGTTAGATCTGTCACTAATGTCTTCATTGTGATGACTGTTAGATCTGTCACTAATGTCTCCAGTGTGATGTCTGTTAGTGTTTTTTCAGTGCATGTATTGCTGTTCTTACTTAGTAGCACAATGCCATTGGCAAAATCAAGGTATTTCAGTTAGGCTTTCTCCACCCAGTTCATATTAGAGGTAGTTGTAGAAATTTTCTTTAAAAATAACCTGTTCAACCCTAAGGGTTATAATTGGGATTCAAAGTGTTCGTCTATACTAGAGGTTATTATTTTATTTAAAAAAATGTTTGTGCTCGATAGGTTCCACCTTATACCCTTTAGGAGGGGGGGGGGGCTGCATGGTCTCGAGGCATGGTGTCCCCCTCGAGTGCTAGAGGTTCCGGGTTCAATCCCAAGTAAGGCCTGGGATTTTTTTCATGTGGACTTGTACTTCTAGTAATTTCCCCTGGTCTCTGGATAGTGAGATCAGACGCCGTTGCATTGCTGCGCACGTAAATAAATCAGTTGGCAGTTAGAAATAAAAAAAGAGTAGTCTAACGGCGCTGCCCGGGCAAAATTTGAAGTTAAAAATCTACCTAAAGTATTTCAGGATCCTCGCCGGTGATGCAGAGCCTGTGCACTGTGCTGAGCTTCTTCAGACTCAGACTTGAGTTAGAAGAAGAATGCAGCACTTATGGGTTACTACCAGTGTGCCATGATGTTGATCCGTTGTTAAACCTCAAACACTTCAAGACTTTTTTTCTTCTTCTCCTTCTCCATTTACCTCAGCAACATGTTGGAGGGAAAAATAAGGATTGTCTGTGTGTTATTTCTAATGTGCTGTTTATCTTCATTTCTTTAAAGCGGTTCTTGATACTTGTTTCATCATCATCATGTAGCGGGTCCTTTGCGGAACGTCCCTCTCATCATGGTCTGCCTGAAAGAAACTTAGTCTCTTGCCAGCTCTCCCACCTCATGTTCTTTCATATTCAAGGAGTCACTTATATCCTGTGCTCATCTTCATGTTGGTTGGCCTCTGCCCCTCCTTCCTGGTACCATGCCTTCTGCTATTATTTTTTCCAATCTGCTATGGCGTTTGATATGACCAAAATATTACAGCTTCCGAGACAAGATGCTGTTTATTAGCCAATCTTGCTTGAAGTTCAGATCTTTTAAAATGTCATTGTTTCTCAGTATGATGTTTTTCAGTTGATTGCTCAATGAACAACTGAAGAAAATTAAAGGCAAAAAACACCAACAAACACGTCAAATTGTGAAAACTTTACTAACATAATTATTTTTCAATGAATGTAAACAGCTGAAATATTCATGTACTTTTAAATGAGAATAAAATAATAAACCTGTCTAAGTCCATTTTCAGGTGTTGAAGAAGAACACAGTCCTAATAAAACCCAAGAATGATAGTTTTTGTGTGTGTGAAGAGGAGGAAAATAAGAGGAGGTGATAATGATGAGGAGAGGCAGGAGGAGTTAAAAGAGAAGGAAGAGGAGTTAAAAGAGAAGGAAGAGGAGAGAAGAAGATTGCACAAAGGTGTTTGATGAAATGCAGTGTACTCTTCTCAGATGGGTAATTACTTCTCTTGTGAGTTTCTTTCAGTACACCTTCATAACTTTTTTTTTTGTGATCTACCCAGTGTTGTTACACTTCTGTTATAAAACAGTATGTGAAAATAAATTCAACAACAAGCAAGGTAAAGGATAAATCATTCTCCCTGGGACAAGAATGAGCCCATTCTCCCTCTGAAGAGACACTGAAGTCGGCAACACAGGACCAGAAGTAAAGTATAGGATCCTTATCCCCACCTTCAGGCTTACCTGTACATATAGGGCTAGAACTATATTTTATAGACCAATTGGCACTTGCTGTGTGATGTGGTCAGCATCACGCCGGCCACCTTTACTTCCTAGGGTTTTACCTGGTACCCATTTAAGGCTAGGTCAACCTGGGAGCCAGTCATTTTTGAAAATGGTTAGGCACTGTTAGGACCTGAACCCATTACCTTCCGATCTGCAGGCTAGCATCTAGTTGCTACACCACAGCGACAATACTGGACCAGAAGGCAAATGAATTACTGGGAACATGACAAGAAGAATGCGATTAGAAAAATTAATTTATCTATTACTCTAGCTCATTCTACTGCCGGGATGCCGGGTTCGATCCCAACAGCAGGCCATGCGCCTTGCATTTGTTTCGACAGTGGTATCAAGAAAGCCGACCATCCAGAAAGCACTGGCAAACAACTGGACGTAAATTCGCCTAGAAAAACCACACAACAGCCAGGGGCAGTTGGGGTTGGTTCTGCAACATACTGTAAAGAATGCGCAACTAATCTTAACCTAGCTCATTCAGCCCATCATTCTCACACTTCAGCTGTACAAAAGAAACAGACACACATAATGTCAAGTTAACTGAAGTCTTCATGTCTAGTCTACGGGAGCCAGGTTATCACTTTGACTGCAATATGAGCTGCCTTAGCTACCGCTGCTATTGCATCTTTTTCATGGTTGCGAATCTGTGATTGAACAAAGGTGGAAACATTCTAATATGTGATGATCTGGATAGAAATATAATTTTACACATGATGACTGGGGTGGACATGTTTAAAAATGTGATAACTGGGATGGGCATTTTGTAACATATGATGATTGGATTGGACATTGTGGTTGGGGGTGGACATTTATTAACATATGATGATTGGGTTGGAAATATTTTAACACATAATGACTGGGGTGGAAATATTTAAACAAATGATCATTGGTTTGGAAATATTTTAACAAATGAGCTTTGGGGTTGGAAATATTTTAACAAATGATCAATGGGTTGGCAATTTTTTAACACACTTTGGTTGGGTGGACATTTATTAACATATGATGATTGGGTTGGAAATATTTTAACACATAATGACTGGGGTGGAAATATTTAAACAAATGATCATTGGTTTGGAAATATTTTAACAAATGAGTTTTGGGGTTGGAAATATTTTAACAAATGATCAATGGGTTGGCAATTTTTTAACACACTTTGGTTGAGTGGACATTTATTAACATATGATGATTGGGTTGGAAATATTTTAACACATAATGACTGGGGTGGAAATATTTAAACAAATGATCATTGGTTTGGAAATATTTTAACAAATGAGCTTTGGGGTTGGAAATATTTTAACAAATGATCAATGGGTTGGCAATTTTTTAACACACTTTGGTTGGGTGGACATTTATTAACATATGATGATTGGGTTGGAAATATTTTAACACATAATGACTGGGGTGGAAATATTTAAACAAAAGATCATTGGTTTGGAAATATTTTAACAAATGAGCTTGGGGTTGGAAATATTTTAACAAATGATCAATGGGTTGGCAATTTTTTAACACACTTTGGTTGGGTGGACATTTATTAACATATGATGATTGGGTTGGAAATATTTTAACACATAATGACTGGGGTGGAAATATTTAAACAAAAGATCATTGGTTTGGAAATATTTTAACAAATGAGCTTTGGGGTTGGAAATATTTTAACAAATGATCAATGGGTTGGCAATTTTTTAACACACTTTGGTTGGGTGGACATTTATTAACATATGATGATTGGGTTGGAAATATTTTAACACATAATGACTGGGGTGGAAATATTTAAACAAAAGATCATTGGTTTGGAAATATTTTAACAAATGAGCTTTGGGGTTGGAAATATTTTAACAAATGATCAATGGGTTGGCAATTTTTTAACACACTTTGGTTGGGTGGACATTTATTAACATATGATGATTGGGTTGGAAATATTTTAACACATAATGACTGGGGTGGAAATATTTAAACAAAAGATCATTGGTTTGGAAATATTTTAACAAATGAGCTTTGGGGTTGGAAATATTTTAACAAATGATCAATGGGTTGGCAATTTTTTAACACACTTTGGTTGGGTGGACATTTATTAACATATGATGATTGGGTTGGAAATATTTTAACACATAATGACTGGGGTGGAAATATTTAAACAAAAGATCATTGGTTTGGAAATATTTTAACAAATGAGCTTTGGGGTTGGAAATATTTTAACAAATGATCAATGGGTTGGCAATTTTTTAACACACTTTGGTTGGGTGGACATTTATTAACATATGATGAATCGGTTGGAAATATTTTAACACATAATGACTGGGGTGGAAACATTTCAACTAATTTTTAAAGTAAAGGACCCTTTTTTCATGCCTTCATGCTTACTGGGCATATAGGGCTAGACCTATATTTTACAGACCGATCAGCATTTGGTGGGTGATGTGGTCAACATAATGCCGGCCCCTTTACTTCCCAGGACTACACCTGGTTACCCACACTTTTTTCTGCCCCAACCCCCTCATGACCTTTCTATTGTTGTGTTTATTTATTTCTGTTAGAGATTACCTTGTTGGTGTACTGTAACAGCTCTCGACGTCCTTCGGGAGCTTCAGCTATACAAGTCAATGCCTAGAAAAAAATTATTAAGTAAGTTTTTCATTCTTGGACACATACATAGAAGCAGAAACTACGATAATCAGAAACAGAAAGGACAGGCCAGCAATTAATATTACAAAAATAGAGCAAGAATAGAGCAAACTGTATGTTTCTTCCATCTTGACATTTTATAACAGATGACTGTAGAAGTACGAACAACACTACTGCCCTAGAGCAAGAGGCAGACCGAGAGTACGATGGATAGACAATATATCAGAGATCCTGAGGCAACACGGACTAACAACAACACATGCAACACACCTGGCCCAGGATAGAAAACTGCGACTCCCCACTACGCTGTGAGGCAATTGTGGACAAGACAAGACAAGACTAGAAGTTGAACAAATTTTTAAAAAAAGTTGCCACAAAAAATGAATCAAAGCCATTTGCCTCAGTCTCTGAAGGGTAAGGGGTTGTTTTAAGCACAGCACCATTCGGTTCAAGAGGGCAGTATTTATAGATCCCATTGGATCGTTGCTGTTACTGCTGAGTTTGTGCTTTGTGCAACACTCATGGCAGACAGCAGGCCAATCTGTGGACAGAGAATGTGCCACAAAGGATAAAACCTAGTGCGATGAAACTGATCTTCTCGACTATCATCACCCTGCCAACTGGCGAAGGCGCTCATGCATCTCCACAGATCACGATCCCTGGTTGCCTGGAACAGTTCTCTTGATGATATCCTTTCATGCCATCGTTTCAGCCCATCTAGCATCATCTCTCTTGGTCTGCCTCCACCCCCTTTTCCACTGATCTTTCCAGTTGTTACGATGTTCTCTAAAAACAGTGTTTGTCTCTTTCTTATTGTTGTATTTAGAGATCTACTTTCATTAGCTTCTTTCAAGCAATTGTTGTTAGTTAATCTGGCCATCCAAGGTATTCATAACATTCTTCTCAGAAACCACATCTCTGTTGCTTCCAGCTTTACTTAAGATTTGTTAGGAGTACCAACCTTGATTGCATTGAGTCTAACTTCACTGTTAATGTCGTCTACTAGGTCTGTTAGAGGCTTGATGGCCAGTGAATGGATGGCTGTATATTTTCCTTTTGTTGTTATGGCAATCCTGTTGAATATAAAACAAACCTTGTATGTATCTATGAATGTGAAACATATATAACTCTATGCTGTACTGTTATTTGTCATGTGGGGCTAACAATTTATTTCTTACATTCAGTTCTAGCCTGTCAATTATCATCATCATCATCCCATAACACTATGTGTTGTTGGGTCAGCAGTTTTTGTTGGCTGTCTGATCAGCTCTCTCCACCTTTGTCAGTCAGTTGCAATGGACTTCATGGCTGCAGGCCTGAGGCATGTCCAGTCAGTCAGGTTCTGCAACCAGGTCTTTCTTGGTCTGCCTCTTCTCCTCTTTCTCTCTACTGAGCCCAGCAGTATTGTTTTTAAAGGCCTTTAGATCCTAATACATGTCCATACCATTGCATTTTTTGCCTTTCACTGTAGTTAAATGAAGTTAATAGTTGCCAATGTGCTTTATAATTATATGGTGAACCTCATCGTTTTTAATATCGCCAAGGATTTTTCTGAAACATCGCATTTATAATGCTTGTATCTTCCCTTCAAGTTAAGGTCTACATTTCACAGCCATATGCAAATGTACTAACAGCTAGTGCTCTGAGCAATAAAATCTTAGTTTTGCATAAAATGTTTTTGGATCTCCATAATTTTTGCTACTTGGCAAGAACTGATGTTGTCTGGACAATCCTAGACATGATTTCTGGTCGTGACCCAAAGTCACTTAAAATGTGGAGTCCTAATTTGGATGGAATCCAGTTTAGCACTATGGTCTCTTTCAACCTAGTTCGTCTTCGGGTTTCTTTTACCCGTTGCCATAAAGTTGGCATTGTGGTGCTGGGGTGTCTGTGGATTACCTATCTCCCCAGGCAGCAGCCAAAAATGCCCTGTACAAGTTCTAAAGGAAATATGGGTTGTGTTTCTGCCTTCCCCTTTAACATGTAGCTAAGGTGGGGCTCACAGTGTGCTCATTCCCCGCCACCAGATTGCCTGCTGGTTTCGTTGAGCTTTTCATGGCTCTAAGCATGGTCTAAGCATGAGTAGTTGGGACAACTGGATCGTCACATCCTGAGTCCCTGTGCCTTCACGATAGTTTCCGGTATTCAGGGGTGGGGGGGGGGGGGGGGGGTTTGCATACTTGTTTCCATTCCTAAGACTGTTCAGCACACCTCTGGCTCCTTCCCTTCCACAGGGGGCAGTACAGTGTAGTGCACCGGGTTTATTATCGAGGTTTGCTCCTCTAGATCCATTGTGTTTTGCCTGGGGATTCACACCCCCAGTTACCAGGACTACCTCAGGGAGGCTGTGACTCTTCACCACGCACAATGGTCTTGAGGTAAGAGAGGTTATGCTAGGTCAAGAGGCTGACACCACAATGGACGCTCCTTTCGTGAACAGATATTCACTAGACTTAGGGTGAAGTAAGGGGGAAAAAAACCACTACCCACAACACCAACACTTCTTCTTACCCCCTGCTTCTCGAGGCTCAGTCCCACAAAGTTGGAACCACAACTGATCGGTACCTTTCCATCTTTCCAGATGACAGTGTTACATGGTGCTTTGAGAAGGCATGGGATTCACAGCCCATGGCGATGGTGGGTATGAATAGCCAGGCCCATCCTCGTTAAGAAAAGTCTTCCACAATTGCAGCGTGGGATTTTGGGACCCTTGTCAACATTTGTGTTTAGTCTGTTTCTTTTCAGATGCTCAGCTATCATCGCTTTTGTAATAATTTTTCAATTCGTTTTCATTTCCTTTCTCATGTGCCCACCCCACACAGCATGGTCCATGGCATTTTGTTCCCACGAGTCCACCTCAATACCTGTATTATTCAGGCCCCGCTTGCACACATCTTTATATCATAGTAGTGGTTGGGCCTCAGCATCTTCTATGTGTCTTTAACTCACCATAGAGGATGTCATCCATTCTCCAGGTGTGACCCAGCCACCTGAGCCTTCATAGACTGAGCATTGAGAAAACTGCTCTTTCCAATACCTCAGTGTTTGTGATCTTGTCCTGCCATTTAATGCCAAGTACTCTTCTTAAGCATCGCATGTAAAACCCCAACTAACAGCCAATAAAAAATGCTAAGGGTACACATAACTTTTTCATTAAAAACAAATTAACAAAATAATTCAAAACATAAATCACATCATGAGGGCTCCAGCAGCTTTTGCTCTGACTTCTGCTGACTGGTCGACAAGCATGTGACGGAGAAGTTGTACAGCTCCACATTCAACAGCCATGTTCTTGCCTTCCAGTGACACACTGCGGCATGGGAAACATGAAGTTTTATTAACTTTTATACAAGAGAGTATACAACACAAGATATATAGTGCATAACATTACAACCATTCTGGTCTGCATGTTAGCAAAATTCTCAATTTCTTGCTATCTAAATTATTATGTTCTCTCTAAAATTTCATATAATGCATATATATTATCTAATCAATAGCTGAGCCATGTATCTCAAACTGGAGATGGATTTTATTAATAAAGACCCCCTTTACCGAGAAATAGCCATAAGAAATGGGTCAAATAGAAGACCCCCAAATGTGATATGAGCATAAATGTAAAGGGGATATGAAAACCCCCTGGCATAAATACAGAAACATGGGAGATTGTTGCAGCTGGCAGAAATGTGCAAAATCGACTGGTGCTCTTTGAACATAATCTGACCCAATTAACTGATGAAAAGACGCGCAAGTATAAAATGCAGTCAATTTCTGCAGGAACTGACTCATCTTACAGATATGGAAACTGTGACAGAAACAGTTACTATTGTATCAGACTATATAGTCCCCAGCAGCACTGTCGGATGCCTGTCCAGCAGTACAACTCTATAGTTCTACATTACTGAAAGAGGCCTACTCTGCTATTAATATTATATTATCTATTGTCCCCTTGTGGGTTTCAAGGCCCCAAATGGACAGGGGGAAAAGGGGGGGGGGGGAATAGACCTACAGCCCCTCCTAACAAGCACGTCATTCAAGATGATTAATTAGGAGTGTTTCCATTGAAGTCAGAATGCATCAATCTGAGAGACAAGGAACCAACAGTCTGCATACAAATAAACTAGATCTTTGAAATGCATATGTATGCAAAAGTCAAGTTCTGAAACAAAACTAAAGTGCAGAAAAGGACCAAACACAGACGAAAAAAGAAAAGGAGTTTAGATCATTTTATGAACGCAAATAAGAAGAGAAGATATTATCTATTCATGTGTAAAATTACTATTTGGGAGTAATTTGTAAGTTTTGTAATGTTCAAACACCGTTATTTGGGGTGGGGAGGGGGGGGGGGCTTGTTTGAGTCACAAACTTTTTTTTTAGCTGCCTACATTATCACAAGAAGTTTGCCCTAAAGTGTCAAATAATACATGTATTATCTATTCAAGAGTAACAAGATTGTTTAAGACTAATTATTTTTTTTTTTCTTTAAGGATTTTGTAGAATCTTTTATTTTCTTCTTCTTCTTCAGCATTCCGAGCCGTTGAGGTTCATTGCTGCAGATATCACCTGCCTCCACATCTCTCTGGTTGGCCTTCTCTTTCCAGTTGGTGACACCAAGTGTTTGCAGGTCTGCTTGGACATTATCTCTCCATCGTCTTCTTGGTCTGCCTTGGTCTTGGTTTTTATCTGAGTCTCCAAAATTCTAATGTTCTTCTTCTTCAGCGATCTCTGGTCATGCGCATAATCCACTGTGGGTCATAAACTGGGATGTCTTTTCAAGGTCTCTTAGGTTTCCCCAAAGCTTAGTTGTCAGTTCTACTGGGTGTTGCCATATGTCGCTCCGCAGCTCCGCCAGGAGAGGACAGTCTTGCAGGACATGTTCTGGAGTCTGTTCAGCACGAAGGCACCGGCAGAGAGCTGTTTGGCTCATACCTAATTTATGTGAGTGTTTATTGAGTCTGCAGTGTCCAGTGCGTAAGCGAAAAACTGTGACTTGGTCTGTTCTGTTCAAGTGTTTCAGAAAATCTTTTTCGTAGTTATAACCAGTGTTGGTTTTCCAATCTGTTTCTGATTTTCTCTTAAGAGTTTTGACTTCTGGAAAAGATAGTGGCTGGTAGGTCTGTGGTTTGTTACTGCCTTCCTTGGCTAAAGATTATAATGTTCAACTACCTACATTTGTATAAGTTTACAGTAAAATGTCAAATAATGACAATGTATTATCTATTCACACATAACAAGATTATCTGGGACTAATTTTGGATTGTTTGTTGGGTTTGGGGAATGGGGGGGGGGGGGGGGGAGTCAGGTCATGATTTGTGTATCAGCCAAATTCCCAATATACAGTCTCCTTCATGCAAAGATTGTTCCAAACTTTTCAAGTTATGCCAACGTATTTGTATCTGTTTCTCTTCTTTGTTTACGTTGCTCTCCCTCTTACCTAAGGTCCATGATATCTCTGGCTGCCTTTCCTCTGATCACAGCCAGGTCATGCTTCAGAAGCATGGTAATGACTTGCATGGCTCTAGCTTCGAGTGCGCTCGGTATGTCTTCCTGTATGCAAAAGTGCAGTGTGTCTAGAATCAGCTCCTGAGAAAGAATTCATGAGAATTTTAATCATGATATGACAGAGTTAATTAATGTGGAACTTAGACAAGTGTAGAATCAAAAATGGAGAAAAACGTGTGGTACTGGAGAGAACACACACTGAGAAAATGTGGTAATAGTATGACTAGAGAGTTCTTTTTCTTGAACCCATGGGGCAAAATAAACAGTAGGAGACAAAAAATGCTGATGACAAAGAATAAGAGACATAAAAGAATCATGCAGAAGCATGGAGACAGATGGAGGAGACACCAAAAGTTAGGAGAGTTAAGTGTGATTTTATTAAAAGCTCATCCTTCAACGAGGGGGACCCGCTTTAATGTAGTGGATAGATCTTTGCCTGCTGACCAGAAGGTCTTTGATTCAAACCTGCACTGGGGAAGGGGGTGATTTTTTCTTCAAAATTGACACTGACTCTCAGGTTGACTCAGCCTAAAACAGATACCATATAATATTTTGGGATGTAAAGGTGGCCAGCGTGATGCTGACCACATCACTCACATGTCTAACATCATATGCCCCGTGTGCCATAATATCCTTCGATGAGGCAGAAGAAGAAGAAGAAGAAGAGGAAGAAGAAGAAGAAGAAAAGGAAGAAGAAGAGGAAGAAGAGGAAGAGATAAATTAAAGCAGTATCATTTACCTTGATCTCATCAAGTTCTTTCTGCAGTTTTTCTACTAATGGCAAAATTAACTGTGCTTCAACAATACTTGCAGCACCTGTACGGATTCACAAAAAGTACAACTTACAGCAAACTGCAGTACAGCACAGCATAGTGTAGCACAGCGTTATACAGTTTAGTAAAATACTGCATAGTACAGCATCGCATAGTTAGTCACACTATCTAATTCTGACAGCATTTAACCCTTTTGCCACTGGGGAAAAGCTAACAAAAAATGGGTGATGAACCCGTAGGAATCACTCCCAAAAATCCTTAAAGAAAACAACCATTTTACACTAGTCACTAATAAATTAAAGACAAAGAGAATTATTACCATTATTATTTTTTTTTTTTTCAAAATAGATAAAGATACATAAATGGAGTAATCAATACAATATATTCATATCCTGACCTCGTAAATGCTGTGCAAGTGCAAACACAGCCAATGACATTAACAAGGTGTCTGTAAACATGCCACTGTAGGCTGTGGCTTCCCAGGGTGACAGGCTTAATGAATAATTTGTGGTTTATTAGTAACTGTTTCAATCATTCTTGGTGCTTCTGATGCAAAATACCACCTTTAAATTTTTTTTTACTAACATTTGCTTGATTTATTCTCATTATTTAATGTGTCGCATCTGATTTAGTTGAACACCCAGGCAACATTGTCACTAAATTCCAGTAAAGTAAGTTGCTCTCTAAGGATCCACTGAATTTCATTTTGAGAGGTAATTATTGTTGTTTCCGTAATCAATTTTGTAGTCAGTAAGAAAAATGACGTTAAAGGCACATATTTCTACTGCATGCCTGTGGATAAAGTAGTTTCATTACTGTAAAAACTGACAAACACAATCTTGTGGATAAAGTAGTTACATTACTGTAAAAATTGACAAACACAATCCTGTGGATAAAGTAGTTACATTACTGAAAAAACTGACAAACACAATCCTGTGCATAAAGTAGTTACATTACTGTAAAAACTGACAAACACAATCCTGTGCATAAAGTAGTTACATTACTGTAAAAACTGACAAACACAATCCTGTGGATAAAGTAGTTACATTATTGTAAATGCTGAAAAACACAATCCTTTGGATAAAGTAGTTACATTATTGTAAAAACAGACAAACACAATCCTGTGGATAAAGTAGTTACATTATTGGAAAAGCTGAAAAACACAATCCTGTGGATAAAATAGTTACATTATTGTAAAAACTGACAAACACAATCCTGTGGATAAAGTAGTAACATTTTTGGAAAAGCTGAAAAATAATCCTGTGGATAAAGTAGTTGCATTATTAGAAAAGCTGAAAAACACAATCCTGCGGATAAAACACATCTAATAACTGACAATATAATACAAGATGAAGATCAATGCAAACAAAACTGAAACAATGCAAGTTAGCAGAACCCCTGGCCCACTACACATACAGTTGAATGGTTCTGCTGTAAATCAAGTTAGGGAGTTTAAAGATCTAGGAAGTATGATCACAGAAGATGGTAGAATTGACAGAGAAATAGAAACCAGATGTCAGAAAGCAAGTGCACTTGTATACCAACTGTCACCATTTTTAAGACATCCAAGCATAACTATGAGTGCAAAGTGACAGATTATTAGTAGCATATTCATTCCAACATTAAGCTACCAGTGCCAAACATGGACACTATTTAAAGCCCATATACTCAAAATCACCACTTGCGAGATGAGATGCCTGAGAAAAGCTGCCAACCTAACCATACAAGATCGATTGAATAGTGAAACTATCAGACAAATTGTGTGAACGACACCTTGTATTAGATTCATAGAGAAACAGCAGATCAAGTGGTTTGGCCATCTCGTTAGAATGCAGCAAGATCAAATACCATCACAAGCACTACATCTCAGGAGATCAGCTACAAGAGCAAGAGGACGGCCGCAGAAAATATAGATCGACACCATTAAAGACACTCTACGCCTTCACGGCATGACAATAGCCAGTTGCAGCCAACGTGCACTGGATCGCAAATTATTCCTTCCCACGACGCTTAACTCTTTGAATCCCAAGGAACGCATTATTGGTTCCTGTCTAGAAGCCCAATAAATGCATGATGCGCTGATTTTACATCTCTCTTGACTATCCCTTGGGCCTGTGATGCTAAACCCTCTGGGACTCAAAGAGTTAACGGCAAAAGTGGTTTTTGATGATGATGATGAATAACTAACAACTATACGCCTGTGGTTATAACAGTTTGTTAAAGTATTAACAACCACACTCGTGTGGATAAAACCACTACATAAGTCCACTTACTCATAACCACACCCCACTGCATGTAAACCCATAAGTGCTCCGTTCTAATTCTAACTCAAACCGGAGTCTGAAGAATCTCAGTGCAGTGCACAAACTTTTGCACCAGATTTTTAACTCTTTTTAATTATGGGTGCTTCTGATGCAAAATACCAACCTTTTCAGTGGAGTTTAACCTTTTTTTTTTAAATTACACCAACGTTTGTTTGATTTATTCTCACTATTTAATATGTTTTGCATCTGATTTAGTTGAACCGGCAGCGCCGTAAGGCTACACTTTTCGATTTCCAACTGCCAAGGAGTTTTTTTTCACATGCACAACAATACATATGGGCGTCCGGTCTTACTACCCAAAGACCAGGGGAAATTACTAGAAGTCAATGTGAAAAAATATCCCAGCCTTCACTGGGGCTTGAACCTGGGACCTCCAGCACTCGGGGCGGATGCCATGCCTCGAGACCAAGCAGCTCCTTGGATAAAACAATTATAGTAGTCTAATTACTGTCAACCACACTCGTGTGGATAAAGCAGTTACATCAGTCTAATTACTTACAACCTACAGTAACAATGACCAAGGGTCAGACTAGTATTGTCACTGTCAAGAAGGACAACAATGACTGTCTTCCCCAAAATGAATATAACAATAAAGATTTTACCATTTAGACAACAGAAACTGATTCAACTAAAATGACACAGACAGTCGGTGCTTTTCGGACATGCTGTGAGACGGAGAACTTGAATTGAGAACTTAGTGACAGATGGAAAAAGTGCAAGAGGAAGACACAGAGATAAATACCTGGATGGATTGGCTAAATAACTGGAGTGAGACAAGAATACTAATCTGTTTAGTGATTCTAGTGATGTGTGAGATGAGAAAACTTGACCGCCTACGCTTATTGACACTGCACATCATGACAATTCTTCTTCTTCTTAGCGTTCACCAGCTGTAAACTCTAGCGTAACATCCTAATTGTTTGTCCATTTCTGGACACTGGCCTTGTTCCAGATCTTGAGTTTCACATGCATACCCATTTGGCAGGTCTGACTTATTTGTATGCACAGTGTTGATTTCTCGTCTCTAGGTAGATGTACTTGGACTTCGAAGGAAACTCCCCCAATTAGTTGCCTTATATGACTTGTATGACACGCTTTTTACGGAGGCAGTGAGTCTATTCTTCGCAACTCACATGGGGAAACAGATGATGACGTTACAGAAGACTTACCTGGCGGTGTTTCAGAAATCCTCAAAAGACACATATGTGCATACTTCCGAACGATGTCTTTGCGGTCTTCAAACAGATTAGCTACTGGATAGATCGTCTCCAGCTTCAAAAAGGAATCTCTTCCAATTGCGTATGCTGAGTAGAAAATGTACAGTAACAGGTCTTGTCTTCTTTATTATTTAAGTAGAGTAAAGAACCCTTTTCCAGTCATTAGGCGTGTTTGACATATAGGGTTAGACCTTATATCTTATAGGCCCATGAGCACTTGGTAGGAGATGTGGTCAGCAGGCTGCCTTCACTTTCCATGATCCTTATTTTATAGCAATGGCAAAAAAAATGATAATAACAATAATAATAATAATAAAAAATAATAATAAAAGCACTAGCTATTAGCACATTTACACATGGCTGTAAAACGTGGACCTTAACAGCTGAACTCGAAAGGAAGATACAAGCATTAGAAATGCAATGTTTCAGAAAAATTATTGGCATATCATACAGAGACCACATTACAAACGAAGAGGGTCGCTATATAATTATCCAGCACATTAGCAACTATGAACTTCTTTTAACTACAGTGAAAAGGCAAAAAATGCAATGGTATGGACATGTAATAAGATCTGACGGCCTCTTAAAAAACAAAAACAAAATACAGCAGGGCTCAGTAGAGGAAAAGAGGAGAAGAGGCAGACCAAGAACCACCTGGTTACAGAACCTGACTGACTGCACCCAGGCATGCACCCATGAAGTCCATCGCAAGTGACCGTCAAAGGTGGAGAAAGCTGATCAGACAGTCAATAGAAATTGGTGACCCAACAACACGTAGTGTTACAGGATGCTGATGATGAAAAAAATGAAAGTAAAGCAGCCTACTCCACATGTGGGCTCTGCTGCTCTGTTCTGGAAAACAAAGAACAGACCTGCTGCCCTGTTCTGAAGAACAAAGAACAGACCTGCTGCTCTGTTCTGGAGAACAAAGAACATACCTGCTGCCCTATTCTGGAGAACAAAGAACAGACCTGCTGCTCTGTTCTGGAGAACAAAGAACATACTTGCTGCCCCTAACAAAAATATCATGGAAGGCAAATATATCAGAGAGTTTCCTTCAAAGTCAGAGTGCATCTGCCTGAGAGAAAACAAACCAACAGTCTGCATACAAATAATCCACATCTGTAAAACAGATGTGCATGCACAACTCAAGTTCTGAATCAACACCAAAATCCAGGAGTGGACGAACAATCCAAATTTCTTTCAGGATTACAACCAGTAAATGATAAGAAGAAGAAGAAGATAACAAAGTCCTGTTAAAGATATGCAGCTAACTTTAAAACACTGTCTTCTTATTTTTCTTTCAATTTTTCTACTGAGCAAAGTGTATTGCACCTCGATGTATACCTCAGAGGTCAGTGTGTCAAAGTTCAGCAAGCTTTTGTGCAAGGCTTACTTTGTCTTTGCTCGCAGGTCATCGTAGCTTAAAATCATCATCATGTGACATAACAATCACCGCATGCTGTCATGTTTCGCCATCTCACACAATCATGAATCAGGCAGGCCTCTAGCGGGTACACTGTGATGTCATAGGAAGTAAAGGTGGCTTGTGCGATGTTGACAACATCCCCCATGGAGTGCCGTTAGGTCCATAAAAATATGCGTCAAGCTCCATGTGCCTGAAACACCAATGCAGTTATAGAGGCAGTTGACTTACTTCCCTTTACTCAACCACGTCTGCTGGGTCAGTGTTTCTCAACCTTTTTTTACCCACCACCCACCAAAATGGGAAAAATTATTTTGCAGCCCACCTGACATCTAATGAAACACAGAAAAAAAATGTTGATAGCAATTCGATAAATCCAAAGTCACAACCAAAAAAAAAAAAAAGGAGGGGGGTCCACAGGACTTTGTCAATCAGGAACCACTACTCTAACAGAAGTAAGTCAGCTTCGAATTCCTGACAACAGTGTTGGTCTGGCTCTTTCAATCCTAGAACATTTTACAGAAGATGCCTAAGAGGGAATATAATCACTGTGAAAAATCACAAGTGCATTATAATGAACCTGTCTATTGGTGCAACAAGATATCTGTATTATTCTCTCACCAAATGTAAAGACTAAGAGAATATAATTATATTCTAAGTAACATGTGAAGCTCTTTCTTCATAATTACCTGCCATTGTGCAGAGACATTCAACAGCTTTCCACCGAACAGTGAAATCACTGTCACTGAGACATATTTTTAAAGTTTCCCCAAGACCTGGAACAATCGAAAATATCAACTGAAATAATCAACAGGACAATACAAATAAGCTGTAACTTAATAACAAGTGCAGTCTTTACCAAGACCTCTGGGGAATGTCCCTGGAACTACTGAATTTGTGCTCTGTGGATGCTCTCAGCAGAGGGTCAGTATTCCCTGACCAAACCACATGGGTTACAACCCATAGTTTTCAGTGTATAAGATGTCCCCATGTATACGACAACACTTATTGTTCAAATCCATAATTAGGAAATAATTATTTTAAATAAATTCAGTGCATAAGACAACCCACAGTGTTAAATTTTAAAAATTGGGAAAACACAGTCTTCTTATACAAGGAAAAATATCTAAATTCTCTCAGCTTCAACTTTAGCTCAGAAAGAAGGACAAAATTATGGTAAAATAAATTATTCTGGCTAACACCTGCAACTTTTGAGCATAAACTGTGTGGAGATGTCAACAACCTCAAGCTGACTGCTGATTTCTTCAAATATATCCACACTGACATCTGAAGGTAAAAGAAGAATAAAACTGTTCGGGATTCTCTGAGCTGATAGTCCCTAAAAATGCAGAGCTCTAAACCATGTAAAACTATAGTGGATGAACTATTATTGTGGAAGACTTTTCTTGACTCGGGCAAAGCCTTGGTCTGCCATGCTAATATATTAAGTTTTCAAGTTGCTTTTCTTTTCCTAGGATGAGGCTGCTGGCCTTCCCAGTGTGCTCCTCCAATATTTGCAAGTGTAATAATCATTATATTACTATACTTCCTAAACAATGACCATTTGCACCAACAGTAACTTGCAAATCTAGCATGGGAGTTTTCAAATGTGACAGTGAAGGAAACTTTATGTGATTTCCACTGGCACAAGAATGGAGACATTACGGGGTGTCCTGTAAACAGTGATGTTGAAACTACAACTAATGACTAACGATTTCCTAAACAAAAATCAATCAAGTTGTAATTTATAGAAAACAAAAATGTTAAGAAATGTTTTAATGATTTCAATAAGGAAAGATTTCTGACCGAGTCTCAGTGCGTCTGCAATATGTTCTGGGTCATGGAGGTAATCAGAAAGAGCCATAACTGCCCTCTGTCGTACAATAACGTTCTCATCCTTGAGTTCTCTGTTCTGAATAAAATTATACAGGAAGCAACAAATATTATAGCAGACAACTTTTTATTTTGACCACTTCCATTCCTAAATATTACTTACATATTTAATAATGTTCAATTACAAATACTACAGTATTCAACCCACATATGACAGACCATAAGAATACTGAACTTGTGCTACAGACATTCTCTCAACATGCAGTAGAGAGATCCTAGGTTTGGCCGTTTGGCATTACAATGGAAACAAAGCTGCATGTAACAGTGGAAGACATGACTGCACAACAAACTTCATAAAGGCTTATGGTCTGACCAAATGTGACCAAAATATTTAAATTGTCTTTTTTAATTTTTAATTCTTTGAGTAATTCTCTTTTCATTCCCAGTCCTTTGAAAAACCTTTGAATGTGACTGTTTTGTTTCCATGAAGAACAACCTATACTTCTGTATATTCACATTTCCTGAGACTCAATTTAACGTTTTGTTGCATTTTGCCTAATACTCTGCATACAATCAATTGCATGTGTATAGTAAGGTTGCATGACTAAAATCAATTAGTGGAAAAAATCATGCAACCTTAAAAAAATGGCCAGCTCATTTATTATTTACAGCTCTGCTCTGATGCCAGCTGACTGCTTGCAGCTGATACTGCAATGCATGCACTTTAAAATGACAAAATCTTTCTGCCAATGGCATCAGTGGCATTGAGGAACATAAGGTCCTGCTCCTAGTATTAATTGTTTTGGTGCTTTATTAATATCCTACCCCAAACAGGTCATAGGATAGTCTAATATTTCAGGGGGTGGTAGATAGGCTGCATTTATTTGCACCAGGAGAGACGGCTAAATAGCTTTCACATGCGATGCCTAAGAAGAATACTTGGCATTAAGTGGCAGGACAAAATCATAAACACTGAGGTACTGGAAAGAGCAGATACTACAAAAGTCTTTTCTATGCTCAATCTACGAAGGCTCAGGTGGCTGGGTCACACCTATAGAATGGAGGATGGCAGAATCCCTAAGGACATCCTTTAAGGTGAATTAAAGACAGGAAGAAGATGTCGAGGCTGACCTCTACTACGGTATAAAGATGTGTGCAAGTGGGCGTTACACTTGATTCGCGACTAACTTGGAAGTCACACGTAGAAGCAGTACAGGGGAAAGCATTTAAGAAGCTTGCAGTGATGAAAAAATTAGCTGGTACCACATGGGGCGCTAACTCCAGAATCCTAAAACAAGTATATACTGGATCAGTCAGGCCAGTCATGGAATATGCCTTCACTGCATGGGCTGCAGCAGCCAAGACAAAAATGGGAAAACTGGACAAGGTTCAGAAAATGGGATTAAGGATTGTTCTCGGAGCCATGAAAACCACCCCCATCAGAGAGATAGAGAGGATAGCAGATACTGAACCACTCGAACTCAGAAGACAATACAAAACTCTTTTACAGTATGAGAAATTAAAAAGACTTTAAAGCCACCCACTGCATTTTAAATTTCAAGAGAGAACAAAAAACAGACTGAAGTCAGAGCCCCAACCACCTTGCTAGAGAACTGTAGAGACAGCACCAAGATCTGCTTGAAAGAGATGTAGCACTGTGCGAAAAACTTAGGCCAGAACCATGGACAAGCAAGCAAGAGAAGACAAATGTAGTCCTAAAGGTACCATGGATCACTTCAAAAGATGCCCAGACGGAGACACAACAGAGAACCCTGGCTCTTACTATGCTTGATGAGAAGTATCCAAACACCACTTGGACTCAGGTTTTCACCAACGGCTCTGCTACAGATGCAGTCAGAAAGGGGAGTTGTGGCATATACATCAAACCCCCTAGCAGTAGAGCAGAAACTCTCTCTCTACCAGCAGGTGACATCTGCACTAACTTCAGAGCTGAGGCAACCGCCCTCCTTTCTGCAGTCCAACATATCATCACTCAAGAACACAGAGGGCACAAAATCGTTATACTTAGTGACTCATTGTCTGTTCTCCAAGCACTATCAAGCAAAAAACAAGACAAACTAATTGCAGATCCAAGGACCAACATTGGCTTACTCTCCAAGGAAGCAGAACTGGTCTTGCAGTGGATACCAGCCTACTGTGGTATTCAAGGAAATGAGAGAGCAGATGAGTTGGCAAAAGCTGGGAGTATCTTCCACAATCTCATCCACCACACAGCTACAAGGAAACCAAAATAATCAATTTTTAGACTTCGGACTCGACACTGTGGTCTTCGAGCACACCTGCACAGGATAGGCATAAAACAATCTGCTGCCTGTGATTTTGGAGCAGAAAGACAGACCCCTGAGCACATACTGCTTTACTGCCCTTACCTCTCCCAGCAAAGACTGTGGATCTGGCCCAGGGGATCAACATTGCGAGACAAGCTATGGGATACCGGTGGCGACCTTAAATGCACAATCCTATTTGTGACCCAGACGGGACTCAATGTTTAGCATGACTGATGTCGAACGCAAAAGAAAAAAAAAATATAATGATCACTCATATAAGATTAATTCATGTCTTTATAAATAATTAGTGAACAATGATAAACAAACAAAAATAATTAAATGGGATGAGTCAAAGTTAGGAAGACGCGGCATAGTTCTGGCTGGATGCTCGTCTGCTGGCCCAAAAGTCCGTTCAAATCGCCATCGAAACGTTTTTTTTTTCTTTTCAAAACTAACCTGGCTCCCGGGTCGACCAGGCTAAAAACGAGGATCAGGTAATTTGTAATGCCCGGGAATTAGTTATTTAGTTAGTTAATTAGTTGGGTTATCCTCATTGCACTCCGGACATGTCCATAGGTGCTCAGATCCTCCACTCAGTATGAACCCCAAAGTCCGATGGCTAATAGTACCGGTTCTATGTTGATTAACAAGTCTTCTGGCGTGTCTGGTGTGCGTCTCGTTTTTTGCTCTAACGATCTTAATTCCCAAGTCTGCCATTCTGGCGAGTGATGTGGATTCACTGCCACCAAAGTCCTCTATACTTCCCATTTCTCTGAGGGCATTGATAATATCAGCATGATCCATAGGCTGACCGTCGGTAGTGATAGCGGATCCAGCCAACATGTCAGCTCTTTCATTTCCATGGACGCCTGCGTGTCCTGGAACAAAAATAAAGGTGACTCCACGCACAGTGGACTTCTGTAATGATTCAAGCCATTGTCTTCACACTGAACCTGCCTGAACATGCCCGGGGAAGTAAAGTCTACCTGCATGGCATTACTCTTTATGGAACATTAATCTATAAAAAAAAAAAATATAGGTCTAGCACCTTATGCACGAAGCAGTAAAGCCGTGAAAAGGGTCCCTTACTTTTTATTTTTAGGAAGGAAGATACTTTAACTTAACGTGGACTGGAAGTACTACTCAGTACTGAGTACTGGAAGGATGGATGAGGAAGCCAAATTTAGTAACTCTTACCTTATACTACTATAAGACTGCAGTAATATATGCTAAACTGGATCAGCATAAAGAGTCACACACTCAATAAACAGGAAATAAATAACATACCAAACGAGGTATGGCCCGATCGCCATACGCTAGTGGAGTTCGTGTTGGATCAACGTTTGTCGGGTACTTGGCCGAAATCACCGTAAACGCCATTTTGTAAATTGAAACTGTCGCTATAACAACCAACAATATATCAAGGCTATTTTCGAATATAATGAAATAAATTTTTGTCAGCAAGGAAAGCAGAATTTTCAAGCTACTGAAGCATAAGACATGTAGTTTTAGACTCATATTTTATAGACCATCAGCACTCAATGAGTGATACCGCAAGATTATACCGGCTGCCTTGACTTTCCATGATTTTTTTCTGGCCCAAACTGTAGGCTGGGATTACCTGGGACAGTGTATTTTAACAAAAGCAACGTCTTGATAATTGGAAACCCTCGTATATTTAATGAATCTTCAATAAACATACATTCTAAAATGTTCAGATTTAATTCGAAAATATCCACGAAATGTGAAAGTTGTGTAAAGTTAAGATGGCGGTATTTTATAATTGATAAACGTTGACAGTAAGTAGAGACTTTGTGCCTGTGTAACACTGGAATAAGCATGTTTTGTATTTAAAATTATTAGAATGCATGTGCATACACTCAAAAATATTTTTAAATGAGATATAATTATTTGATCTTCTGCATTGTCTAGTTTGTATGCACATATGGGATACGTTGTTTGAATTAAGCGTCGCAGTATGTTATGTCCGTCCCCACCCTAGCTGTTGCCGAGAGCAATTAACCCCGCCAATGAGTTTAACGGGGTTTTTGGAACCTGTCCACGGGTAATCCTCATCTGAATGGTGGCACATTGTGTCACCGTGTATTATTACTCAGTGTTATGTCTCGGAAAGGTAAAAACGTTAGTCAGTCAGCGTGGCAGTAAAAGTAAAAGTAGCGATTATGATCATTGAAGTGACCCACTTAAAAACGAAAGTAGAGATCGCTTAGTTACAAGATGGCGTCGGTGGTCCACGAAAAATGGCTTCTTTGCCTATCAGTTACTTTGAAATCCTGTCGCTCAATACTGGCTGCTCAGAATCGAATACGTGGGCTCAAAGTTATTCAGAAGAGGATGCTCAACCAAACGACACCTAACTTACATAGCGATCTTTGTTCAGCCAAATAAATTTCACTATTTGCTATGCGGGAATTAAATTTCTTTAATATCTCCTTTTTAAAGTGAATTTATATACTTTTAGTTGACATTTTTGGATTCTGTGCCCATTTTTACATAAATATGGGTAGTTTTGCTGGAATCCGTACATCATAGAATATAAAATTTAAATTTCTTCCCGGTCACTTCTTGACAGCTAAATCGGCGATTTCTCAAAATGGCTACCTCGTGGCCTAAACGAACTGTTTATCTCAGATTAATTAATCTAGGTTTTTATTAAAACAGTTCAAAAATAAGGCAATTTTTATCGTATTTATAATTTACCTTTCTATAACTTTAATTTCACATGAGTTTTAATAATTTTAAATACTTGAAAATAATGTTTTAGCACGTTTTTAACATAGACTATTTTCTAGGGTATTTTGCGTTGAAAATGGACACAGACATTGGTTTGAACATTTTAAAATATACTTTAAAATCACATTATTGTAGTTTTTAAATCATTTTGGGAATCTTTAGCCATTATAGCATTTTTTAAGCCATAACCTATCATTTGGCATGAATAATAGTTCCTGTTTAAAGCCTTTTTACCTGTTGAACCCCCACTCTCCGCACCCAGACTGACATTGTGGATGCAGACAGTGGTTTAAACATTTTTTATTATACTTTTAAATGAACATAAAGTAGTTATTTAATCATTTTTCGAATCTTTAGCCATTATAGCATTTTTTAAGCCATAATCTATCATTTGGCATGAATATTATTAGTTTTAAAATTATAGTATTAGTATTGACTTATAGATGCTTATTTAGAAAGTTGACGATTAATAAAATTAATAATAAATTATAATTTGTTTAACTGTGCATACGTTTACTTACAGCCAAGGCTAGTTACAACTTATGATTATTAATATTTAATAATTATTTTCTAAATATACTAATATATACTAGCTAGCAAACAGATCACATGGGACATAGATACGTTAATAAAATATATATAATGTTCTTTTTCCTCTTACCTTATGAAATGCTGCTCCATGAAAACACAACATAAATCCAAAGCGAATCACAAAGGAGCTTATTAAATAATTTTACTCCATGAAAACATAGCACTGAATCACAAATCAGGTATGAGCAGTTACCTTAGATTATTTTGAGCTAGTAAATAAAATATCCAGCAGTGTTAGTTAAGAAGAAGAGGGAAACACTGTGGTAAAATGCGCTCATCATCAATAAAATTAAAGAATAACTCGCAAAGACTGAAGAAGGGATTATGTTAAATCAGTAAAAAGGGTGCATATTTTCACTTGGTTATCAAACAATATTGGTGGTCTCTGTAGAAAAGTGGTCAAGCCATTAACCTCGTGCTTGGAAGGTTGCGGTGAGTTTATTTTACAACTGCTTTGTTCGTCTCAAAAATACATTTTGTTTGGGTTAACAGGGACCCCTGAAGGCTGTTGCTGGAGCTACGGTATTCAGGCTTACTGCTAAGGTCTCGGCATGCGGCTAGTCATTCATGGTTATGTGGAGAAAGACCAAGCCATATGAAACCAGTAACGATGCAGTGAAGTCAATCCACTCGCTATTGAACATTTTTTAACAGTGGAGTAGAGCAAATTTCGGTCAGATGTATACACACTACACACACACACACACACAATTGAGAGTGAAAGAAAAAGCATTTTTAAAACAAATAGGAAGAGATGCATCATAACAAGAAGAATAGTTACAAAAGTATGCATATTACAATATATGTCTTGGAAGACTCACTGGATAATAATCATTAATTTAATTCATAAATAAGGTTATCAATCCTGATAAACAAACTCATTTTTATGTTATTTAGGTTTGCATCACATCATTTTTTTTTTAAAGGCAACAACTTTAGTCAGAGCCTGCTGTCCTGAAAGCAATGACATATGGTTGCTAAGGGGTTCAGCAAAAAACTTGAGAGTTATTGACATTAAACATGATAAATTTAGGTCCAGTTTTCACTTGGGAACACGCCGCCATCTTGTTTCTGTGTTTTCCATTATAAATTTTTGGGGCAACTTTCCGTCACTGAAATGTGAATATCTCCGCTTAGAATTGACATACAGACTTCATTGAGGTACCGTTGGACTCGGGTTTTCAACCTCTATTCAGCTGTCTTGGTTTAAAAGTAAAAAACCTAATTTTTACATTTTGACTAAAATCCCTAGTAAAAGGAGATAGGTAGCCGAGTTAGTGAAGACCTACGTTGTCCAATGACTCCTTCGATCCGCGATCTTCTGTTAAATGTTTCTATTCTCATATTGTAAGCTTCCCTGTGTTCCCCTTTAAGTTAATCACTAGCTGGCTGAACTACATTGGTCCTTGCTTCTCAATAATTTAAACGATTTTTTTTTTAACGTATCCAGAAACCATGAGTTGTAAACCCTTTGTCTCGGTACTATGGATATCGCAACCCTTCGGCATTGATTCCATTATAGGTACCGTTAATCTGGGACAAATGTGGCTTTTCTGCCTACCCCCGGGAGTGAACCCGGACCACAAGGAGTTCGTCACCCGGCCGCCGCGAAAGTCAGGTTTAACTTTAACCAACTTCGCTAGAGAGCCGGGCATTTAAACGATAAGTACTATTTCAGTAGTTTTTTTTTAATCTCTTAATTTCTCACTCAATATATTCTGACTGGTTGTGTGTGTGTGCGTCGGCGCACGTCCACACGCAGCCTTTCTTGAACATCTTCTTTCTAAAGTTGTTGGTTTTCATCAATGGGTTTTGGGGATCTTCTCTAAACGTCCCCATATTATGGCGGCCAAACAAATACCCTAACAGGGCCTCAGTTGTGTGCAAAATGCAGAGTGCCTTCCGAGAAACAAATTTATTAAAGTTACCAAGCAAACCCTCATTTATTTTTAAGCAAGTGTAGCACCTCAGCCTCTTCCCACCATGCATAGACATCCACTTTTAAGCATTTGTTCATATTTTTGTATTACGCAGTTATGCAATGCTTCAGTCCCCCTCCTGCCACTCACCTGCCCTTAGAGAATTATAACTTTCTTTTCATTCCCAGTCTTTTGTTTCAAATAATTACAGCCTATTTTTCTGTATAACCACGTCTCCAGAGACTCAATTCAGTTTCATTTTCTGGAACAAGATGCTGTTTGTCATCATCATCATGTGCAAGGCCTATCCTGTAAAGATTATTCTGTCTTGTTTCTTTGTCTCACATGATCACCACAGCCATAGATCAGTTCAAAGCTCTTGTGTCTATTCATCTGTGGGACCGAGCCATCCAGGTATTTATCTGTTTTCCGTCCCTTGCTGTTTCCCATTAATCTGGCCTGTTGCTACTAAATTCTCTACTCCATTTCTACTCATAAAATGTCTGAAAAACACAGTGTCTTATTGTTCTAATCAATTCACAGCCTTCATCTCTGAAATTTTGACTATTCTTGGCCTTTGAGAAAATGATTTTGCCATTGCTTTCCTTCTTGGAAAGTGTCTGTACTGGTCACCATGATGTTTATGGAAACTTGAAATGCAGTGACTCTGTATTTTTCCTTTGATACTATATACATTCTAAGTGGAGATACTTTCTATAAGTTATGCTCAATAGCTTTCTTCTGCTTTCTTTCTTCTTGTTCTTCGTATTTCTTTCTTTCTTTTTGTTCTTCTTCTTTCTTATTCCTCCTTCTTCTTCTTCTCCAGCTTCCATTTACCAGCTTTAAACTCTAGTGGAAAGTTTATCCACTTTTGGACTGTAGTCTTGTTCAAGAACTTGAGTGCTGCATATTCGTTTTACAGATCTGGCTTATTTATATGCAAAGTGTTGGTTCCTTGTCTCTCAGGCAGATGCAACCCGACTTAAGGGAAACACCATTAATTAGTTGCCTTTTATGACATGCTTGTTATGGAGACAGTGAGTCTATTCACCACCTCACCCCCGCCTTCCCCTTTCCCAAATAGAGCCCTGGAACCCACACAGGGAAAAAAACTAC